ATATGCATATGTACAAATATATACAAAATATTTGCACATACCTATACATAGGCAATTCATATTCAATAATATTTGCAACGTGCGCCCGGCACTTTAGTAGCTCAAGAAATTCACATGTGTGTCGAATGTTTATCCAAGTGATTTCAACCTCGCGTAAAATAAAACGGAAACGACATGTATGTATTTATATTGTAAACTTGAGTTGTATTTAGTATGTATGGCTCACCAAAATCGTAAAAATGCCACCAAAATTAGGCTACCATCATTATATATTCGGCCATATTTACATACATATACCTGCTATATAGCATATAGTATTTATGTAATGTATGTACGTACGTACTATGTATATTGTCCGCTATGAGAGTTTAAAATTTGTATTAACCGATTGACGATTCGTTACTAAAATTTTCCACGTTTGGCGGCCGGCCAAATGTTTTACCTCGACCCACAGTGGGAGCGGCGAGATTCGATATCGTGATTTTGTTTCCTGCATTTCGGCTAGTTTCTGATATTTTGTTTTTTTTTCCGATAGTATTTCCTTGCCGCGTTTACTGTGTCACTCACTGCCTGTCTGTATGCATTTTGAATATTGCTTTGTACTTTCTTGTTTTTGGCTTTCTTTCTTTTCGTCAATTTGTTCAAAGTCATGCCTTTGCCATTAAATACTCTTTATTTATTTTATAAAAAATATTGTTCGTACTATCTATATCCGGAACATATGTAGATATCAGAGGTGTTAAAGAATGCAGTCACCGTGACTTTAAATCGTTGCGGTCACATTCACTGACAATTTTTAACTGCAGCCAATCAATTACCTGTTTGACTAAAGACTGCTAAATTGGAGTCATTAGTCTTTTCTGTTATTCATGACTTATTAGTCATTTTTGCAGTCTGAGGTGAAAGCAATCTTTGCGCGCACATCTTGATAGAATTATAATACTTATTTGTTTAGAAAATAAATGAATACACAAACAGCTTAATTAAAATTCCAGTGGTATAAAAATATTTAGAAAATGTCAATGAATTCCAGAAACTTTCAATGAAATAAATTTTTGTTTATTATATACATCCATGAACCAACGACTACAGATCACCTAATCAGCCATCGTTGTATTTGTAATCGATTTTCAGAAAAAAGTTTTCGTAGCGTTTTTGACGTTTTTCGGTTTTGTTTACACCGTCTTCTACCTCTTCGTAGTGATTTTTTTAGCGATTGAATGTTTTCTGCAGCGATTTTAATTATAAATTTTGGTTTATTACATATTTATGATATAAAATAAAGTGCTGTGTGATCGGAACAAGTTTGTGCGTATGTTTGGTTTGCCAAAAGGCGTAAATTTGCGTGAAAAGTGGGTGCACGTTTGTGGCCAGAACGTTGGCATTGAAAAAATCGACCCGTGGTAATGATATGCGATTGTAAAACACTTTCAATCATGAAAACCATATTTTATGAACTTTTTTTGCTAATTGTCATCAAGTTTCACTTTGTATATTTTATAATAAATACCTATTTAATCGCACTCAATCACCGCGCCTTTTTCGTTTTCTTTGTTTGTTTTCATTCTTAGGCAGATGTCAAAAACACTCAGAAATATACTTTTTTCTTGCTTCTTTGATTAGGTGATCTTGTATTTTTGGTTCATGATATACATCTAATTGACAATATAATGTGTATAATATGTACATAAATATTATGTAAATGCAAATATAACAAAGTGCCTGAGAACAGGTTTTCAAAACAAAAAATAACTATGTTCCTTGAAACTTATTTATGCGTCTCCGTCAGCTTTCAGCAACAGCAATTTTGCGAAATTGTTGTCGGAAAGCGTTCCACGGCGTGGGGTATTCAGCAAACGAAAAACAGCCTTTATACTGCGAATGAAGATGGCAAGGGTGTGTTATACTTAAGGTACACTTTTTTAATAATCGGCTACCGGTTAAGCCTAGCAATTTCTCTAGATTTGTGAACCATATACGACAAAAACTAGAAAAAAATTTCTCACGGGAATTATATAAGAACTAAACCATATGGAACGTTCCCACAGAGAACTTTCGGCTACATTTCTAAGGGAAATGAAGTCTAAAAGTCTCTGGAGGAACGTTTTAGGAGCTGAAGTCTCACGAACTTTCTGACAGAGAAAAAATCCGAAACAAATCTTCTCTAAGCGCTCCACGAAGAATGGAAGCGAGAACAAAGTTTTTTTTTATAGCGTTCCATCAGATTGAAATGTTTGAATATTAAAATTAATCAAAAAAGAACTGAAAGATAATTATGAAAACTAAGTCAACGAAAGACTTACGACACGAACTTTTCTTGCACAGAAAGTGAAAAAATTGCCAGAAATGGGCAGATCACCCAAATAATGAACGATCTGGAACTTTAAATGATCCAGATTTTTCCTGACCTAGAATTAACAGTCATCGTTTTCACTGAAACGATTTTTGATCTCAACACGCAGCCGTTCCTCTCATTCTTAGCGTTAAGTTCTCAAAACTTTTGTGCTAGTTTTTTTCTCTAGCAGAACGTTTCCCAGACTTTTGTTCCTATTTGATCCTTCTTGAAAATGTTCTCAGTACATTGGTTCTCATTGAAAACGTTCCCGAAACTTTCGTTCTCATTCTGTTCTTCTTGAGAACGTTCCCGAAAGTTTTATTCGCATTTTTTGGCGTTATCTTTTGTGCTCATGCAGAACTAAACCAACACCGGAACGCGTTCTCAGTTCCCAAAAAAAAAAAATTAGAAGTACTGCAAAAGAATGCACTCCAATGGCTTAAATCATGTGACTAACAAGAAATTAATAAAAAAATGATTTATGAATTATGAATTAAAAAAAAAGAATAAAGATCAATTTTTTTTTAGTCCTAGTCAGGTCCATCAACGCTGTCTCCTGTTTCAGCTAAGGGGAGGCCTAGGAAGTCCGCGACTTCAACGGGATTTGTGCATAGGGACAGGGGCGCTAGCTGTGTGGGGTTCTGGGGGCCTGCGAATAGGTGTCGTGCGTCATGTGGCGACTCTCCGCATGCGGGGCATTGGTTGGAAACATCCTCGTTTATTCTGCTCAGGTATGAGTTTAGCCTTCTGCAATAGCCACAGCGAAGTTGTGTTATCTGACGTGTCGTCGTGGGTGCTGAATATTTCGACATTGGGATCAAAGCTCCCTTCCTTGCCCATCCTGGTATTGAAATCGCCGTGCACCTGACCTCGACAATTCTTGTAAGTGCGCTTTAAGCGCTCATAGAAGTGGTCTTTCCGTCGGCATGGACACATATGTATGTATAAACGAGATGTTTAAGAATCTCGCTTTGGTGATGATTGTGGCGAGAATGACAGTACCCGGCAACGAAGACTCTCTCCCATCACAAATCCGACAGCGATTTAAGCTGCTTTAGACTGCAGACGTAGTAGACGTTCCCGAATGGCGGTCCTTAGTCCTACCGAGGACATCAACCAGCCGGGCAGAGTCACTTTCGCCGTTAAGGATCCAGACATTCCATTTCCTTTATTCGCTCTCAGTGGTCGTTGTCAAAAGAAGGGGACTCATCCTAGGCACAATTTTTATTTTTATTGCAAGGGGTTTTACGTGGCGGGTCCCAAACCCAGCGCACAACCATAATCTGGGGATGTTTTTTTTTAGTACACGTTTTTAACGCGGGTCGATTACTCCAAGACAGACGACCGTTTGCTACAGGGCCTTCTGATGAAGCTGCGGAATTAGCACGCTCTTAAACCGAATATATCAAAGTGGCTTCACTGAAGCTCCTTCTCTTTATACTGTGATACAAGGCCTTTTGCACATGGGTTGCTCATGTTATCCAGAGTGCGCGGGAATGCAAAAGTCTGGATTAAGTATGTTGTATGTATTATGCATTAGGGTAGTCAAAAAAAAAGTAAAGTTGAATTTTAATGCTCTCACCATCTAGAATTGTTCTATATCGAAAAAATATAGCCCTAAATATTATTATTTTTTTTTTTTGAAACCAAAAAAATATTTACAAGTCGTTCGAAGCACTCAACGTTTCGATGTATTTTATACGGGGAAAAAACAATTTTTCGTAGAAATGGTATGCTCTTCATGTTTATTCAACCATTTTTTAATGTTAAAGATTTTTTTATTGATCCCCTATTGCGTTTTTTGGGGTTTATGGCGGACCTATAGAATATAGTTACTATGAAAAAATGGTTAAGTAAACAATTGGGAAATTGGAAGTATCCTGAAGAGAAACAGAGTTTTCCGATCGAAAAATATTGGTTTTCAAGAATTCTAGATAATTTTTACGAAGTTATTTTTTATTCAATATAAAATACATGGACAACTTTGAACGACCTCAAAAATAAAAAAATAAGGGTATATGTCTACGGTATGGAACAATCCTAGGGGGTTAGAGCATTAAAATTCCGACTTTACTTTTCCCACATGCATTTTTGGACCACCCCACAGTACATACAAACATAATCATTTTATCGACCCCTTTGCGCGAAATTATCGTATGTGCCAGAAACAAAATTTTACAGGAGAGCGTTTTTTCGCGTTTAAAAACATAAATTTTTTTAATTTTTTTCTTTACTGCGCCCACAAGAAAAAATGCAATGTAACATGCTATAAAATATACAGTAAATTTTCGGTGTAACTCTAAAGATTTCAGTTGCAATATTTTACCAGGTGATGCATTGTGGGGTGTAGAACAAATTTACATCAAAAATTCAATTTCGATAATATAGCACATGAGATAATTTCGCGCAAAGGCGTCGATATCATATGCGATGCATAACTTATACATAGTATGTATGTGTGTGCGCACATTTGTATAACTAGTTTAATTTTGTGGTAACTCGACTTTGACGGCAAATCATTTTCAGCATAAACAGTTCTTATTACATATGTATATAAAAATAAACATACATACATATGTACACAATTAGAAACATATGTACATATGTACCATTTAAGTTGAAATACCTTTTGTCACATCTACAATGTATGTTCTTCTTAATGCAGATAATACCGACTGCAGCGATATGGTCCAATTGGAGCAGGAAAAGAGCACACAGTGCGTAGTGCATGATCTTACGCCCAAGTCAGAGCAAAAGAAAATAAATATTGTAGTGCGCTCACAGTACACCGTCGAGAAGGTATTTCGCAATATCAGTACACAGTATCCCTACGAGTTGTACGATTTGGTTCTGCAGCCAAATGAGACGGAAAATACGCTGGTAGGAAAGTTCAACAATTTCAATGTAGTGTATATTTTGTACGAATTTCCTTTTAAATATCATTTTCAGATACACTTGAATGCGCGAAAATCAGAGCTCCTCTTCGCCATACCCGGCTTTGCTCCACAGGAAAAGAATGTACTTGTTCTGCTGCCTCCAGGCGTTTGGGATGGAAATGTTAAGAAACGTTTTGATTTCGCAAAACCATTGACCAAAAAGAAATGCATTTCAAAATCGTCCAAGTTAAGCACAAAGGAGGCATCCACAGCAACAATTAAAGCTGCACAGAGCCCATCTACAACTGACGAGAAAGTCACTACAACTTCAATTGTTACAAATGGTGTTGATTCCACCGCCGCCTCTATCAACAGCGCAATGAATGGTGATAGCGAAATATCAGCGCATAGCGCTGATATCATAGCAAATAACAACCACAACGAGAGTTTAGTAACAAAAAATATTTGTACTGATTTGAGTGGTGCTGGCGATGCTTCATCAACCACTACAGATGAGTTATCTTCTTCCCTGCATACAGCGACTGTCATAGCCAGCACAAGAACAACAAATACCGCCACCATGGCGCATTCATTGAAATTGAGTCCACTTTCCGATCCAGAGCTTTTATCTGACGACGACTTGGCGCTTGGTGCATCTGCAAGCCCCACCGAGACTGAGCCATATAGTGGTGATGGTTTGCTCAAGATTCGCAACACTTCGCCACGAAGTCCCAAATACGGTCCACTTACAGAAGGGGAAATGTATCAACAGATGACACTTCACCGTGATTTCACTCGTTTGGGTAAAAAGCTGCAACCCACATCGGCTTCTGCGTCAACTACCACGAGTGCTGCCTCTGGATCGACCACAATGTCTACAATGTATACAGGTGGTGCGAATGGGTATGTGGGTTTGGTGAATCAGGCCATGACTTGCTACCTGAACAGCCTACTTCAGGCGCTCTTCATGACGCCAGAATTCCGTAATGCACTCTACCGTTGGGAGTTCGACAATGACAACGAAGCGAAAAATATTCCCTACCAACTGCAGAAGCTCTTCCTCAACCTGCAGACTTCAAAGAAATCTGCTGTAGAGACAACAGACTTGACGCGCAGTTTTGGATGGGATTCAACTGAAGCATGGCAACAACACGACATACAAGAATTGTGTCGGGTTATGTTCGACGCGCTGGAGCACAAATTTAAAAATACCAAGCAAATGAATCTGATTGCAAGCTTGTATGAGGGAAAGATGATCGATTATGTGAAGTGTCTGGAGTGCAATACGGAGAAAACGCGCGCTGACACTTTCCTCGATATACCACTACCGGTTCGTCCTTTTGGCAGCACTGTCGCCTATGGTAGCATCGAAGAAGCATTGCGTGCTTTCGTACAACCAGAAACGCTCGATGGCAATAATCAGTACTTCTGTGAAAAGTGCAATAAGAAATGTGATGCTCACAAGGGATTGAAATTCAAAAACTTCCCTTACATACTGACACTGCATCTGAAACGTTTTGACTTTGACTATCAAACTATGCATAGAATCAAATTGAATGATAAGTAAGTACAGTGCCGCTATTCAAAAAGAACAATAATATGTTATTTGTGTACAATTTTATTGCAGAGTAACTTTCCCCCAAACGCTAAATTTGAATAGTTTCATAAATCCTGCTGATCAGGAAGGCCACGCACCTGCAACTTCTGCATCCGCCACTGTGGGTTTATCTGGCGGCAATGCTACATCTAATAGTTTCATGCCTAATGGCACAATTGCCGCCAATGATGATTGCAGTACAACAGATAGTGGCTCCGCCATGGAGGAGGATTTATGTTGTAGCGGCACCGCTACTGCCAGCTCCAGCCAGCATGAAAATGATATGAATGATGATGATGAGGGCATCGACATGAGCACCAGCACAGATCACCGTGTGACTAGTAGTAATGCCAGCGTTGAGCAGCGCATAAAGCATAACACCGGACCATATTTGTATGAATTATTCGCTATAATGATACACTCAGGCAGCGCCTCAGGCGGACACTATTATGCTTATATAAAGGAGTTCGACAACAATGAGTGGTATTGCTTTAATGATCAGACTGTATCGCCGGTAAGTACTGATAACGAAAAATTAATATGGTGCTTATAGGTACGGTGACCATCCGTCCTGTATTATACGGGACGGTCCTCTTTTTTGGCCCATTGTCCTGGCAATTTATTTATTTTATACGGGACGCCAAATGTTCTGTATTTCTTTTAGTGTACTGTATTTGTCCCGTGTTCGGTGTTTTTGACGCCTTAACAGCTCATTAAAATGGCATGCCTATGAACGAGTTTTAAGTGTGGTTGGTATATGATCGTAATTTTCCCCATAAACAGTTATTATTTTCTAATCTGAATGCCTGTGTTTCGATTCGAGGAATACATACAGTGACCAAAATATAATTTAGGACTCGACATAGGAAGGTTTGGCTATTTTTCCTTAGCTTATTTAATGTTTTTTATTTTTTATGAAAGTAAAGCTCTTTTCCTAACAAAAAGCATATAATAGGCACTGTTTAGGCTCGAGCCTTCTCAACTGCCACGGAATAAAATTTTCTTAAGTTATAATTTGATGGCAGTTCAAAGTATACTCGGCTCAGTCTGATGCATCCTCCGGATAACCATCCGGAGCATTCTGCGGACTCTGCATGGCTTACAATCTTGCAGAGGTGGTGAAAGAACTTTACCATTAGCCACAGTGCCGATCCACCATTTTTGCACCAATAAATCTTTTTTTATATAAGTACATACATACATGTAAACATACTCGTCTCCGCTCTCACTGAGTTATTCAAATACCGAATTTCTAACTTCGTGCAAAAAACTACACAAATTAATTCTGCAATATTTCGTCAAAACTCTTTTAATTGGAATCTTTAGAAAAAAAATGGTGGTTTGCAGTTTTGTACCTCAAAATTGAGTATAATAACGTGCTGCTCATTTGCTTTTCGTTTTAAAAAATGGTCGAACATACTTACTTTGTATGAAAAAGATACGTAAGTTTTTGTAGAAAAAATTAGCAAAATTATCTTTTGTCCCGTATTCGGCTCCCATAAATATGGTCACCGTACTTATAGGGTATCATTGCAAACAACGATACCCAGTAAATATTTCACGAGTGCGTAAATTGTAAATAGAAAAAACCTTTCTAGACGGCAAGCATCCATCTTGGGTAAGCCTTTTAGAGATGCCTTGCTGAACAGTCATTGCTTTGATCCAAGAAAGTATCACTTTGGGTTGGCAACGCTGTTTTAACTTGGATTAAAATAAAGGATATGTTTGAAGAGGGTTGCCGATGTTTTAAAACAAAATATTTGTAATGCCGAGCGAACTTGTGCGTAAGGGTAAATTAACTTTTTCCGCATAACGGTTGTTTGTAGCGGCCCAACGGAATCGAGATATGTAGATATAGCAAATACAAATGTACATATATTTAAAACGAAATGCTCAGAATGAAAAGGTAATCGATGAAGCCATGTCTATCTGTCCGTCCTTCCATCCGTCTGTGCAACAATGTCTGAAATTTACTTTTTAAAAATAATTTAATTCAAATGTGTACCGCAGACAAAACATAACCGTCAATGGCGAGCGCTACCTCACAATGATACCGGACTTTTTGTTGCCTGAAATGGAAGCCCTTGATCCCGAGATCCAGTTCTGTTTAAAGAGCTTTACTTAAAATTAAAAAAACTAAGGTCTAAATGTATCACCCCGTATGAGGAAGAAAAGACCGTTCCCAAAAAAAAATGTCAAAAATTAATGGTAATTGGTAGCAACTTCAAACTTACATGCTCCTATACTAAAATTCAATGGGCTAAAAAAACAACGTATCCGAAATATTTCAGAAAAATCTGCTCAAAAAGTTGCAATCACATTGCTGGTAATCTGGTGGGTAGCTAGGGGTGGTTACCGATAGCGAGTGAATTCACTAGTGCCTCATTGGTGCGCGGTACAAGAGAGTATGCATAAATTTCTACCCTTCGCCTTCGGTCTTTATCTGATATGATCTAACGAGGAGGCCATGCAGTATTGTGGATGAACTCATAAAGCTTCATTCTGGATGTCTGTGCCATCTCGGGCCTTACCTTGAGTGTGTTTCATCTCATAAAACACGCAGCTTTTAATTCTAAAAGTGTTACTGTGTAATGAGTTTCAGATATAATCATTATCTCAATATTTAGGCGATCCAAAAAGATGCTTTGTTGAACTCGACCAAAATCGCTCAGGCTACAGCGCAAAATAAGAAGAAGAAGAACAAAACAAAAGTTTCTCACTCAAGTTAAAGTTGAATAAATTATAAAAGTCGGGGTTGCACCATAAAATTATTCAAAGTAGCTATCTAGCTGCTATCAGGAGAAAAAGAGGGTTGTGACAGAGGAATAATTTTTCAGGAATTCGCCGTATGCAGGATTTTGCACAGTAGAAGCTCTTCTCTGGACGGTGTTCTTCTTGCGATTTGATTTCCTAGCCATTTAATTGCTCTCTTAGCTTTGGCTTCCCTTATCTATCATCCACTGAGATCTCCTTAAGACCGTTCGCTTTTATTCATAGCGAAATATTTCCGGTGAAATTATTTATTTACATTTTTGCTATACACGTTTGTAAGCACTACGTTAATTTATGCTAGTTGTTTTTTTTTTTTAAATTTCGGTTTGATGGTATAGCATTTTTGTGTTCCTTTTTATTATAGATTACTGAGGAGGATATTGAAAAGTCTTTTGGTGGAGGATCCAGTCGTGCCTACTATTCCAGCGTTTACAGTTCAAGCACAAACGCTTATATGTTAATGTACCGACAAATTGATCCGCAGCGCAACGAGCGAGCCACCAAAGCTACTGATTTTCCCGAGCATATTAACCATTTGATGCCGAAACTGCATCAGGAAGAAGAAACACGAGTAACACGCAGCTCTGGTCGCCACGGAGTTGTCGTCTCTGATTTATCGGTGCAAGAATTGGTGAAACCACGAGTAAATTTCTATAACCCTGAATTGAAAAAGATGAAATCAACACGAGTTTACGTAAGTAACTTTAATGTGAACTCGGTTCTGGAGTCGGCCTATCAATTGTTAAATATAGAGCAATTTGCACCTTTGTCGCGTTGCCGTCTCGTAGTATACGATGATATGGGCGAACAGATTTGCCAATCTCTGGAACATATTATCGATCCATCACTTACAGAATTACGTCGGCAAACAGATGGGCCACTGGAATTTTTGCTGGAGACAAAAGTGGAAGGCCAGGAGTTCGAGGTTTACAAACCAGGTGGTGTAACTTGGAATGTATACATAGTGAATGTTTGGAAAATGCACCTGGATGGCCCTCATCTTGTCTATGCGCCCACAAGAGAAGCCAACTCGGCACTTTTGCACTCGATTGCGGTACGCCTTAATTTAAACGAGAACCAATTGTTATTGGCCACAGTGAAGACTGACGCCTTTGTAGCGCTAGACTCTGCGCCACCTAACAGTGATACGGCGGAGGGAATGCAGCAACAAGTTATAACACAAGAAGACTTGCAAGAAATCGCACAAGAGCAGTTTAGGGGTTTAACATATATTTTCCTTAACGTGCCCAATACCGACCCGACCACCTTGGAAATCTTGGGCATACCAACGTTGGAGACTCCTACAATCGAGGTACTTCAATAGTTAAGCTTTCATATTTTAGTTGAGTAAAGAGGTAAGTCAGGAAATAGTAAAAAAAAATATTTATCTTAAAGGTCAGCGCTGATGTTGTTGATGCAGTGCAAATGAACTCAAATGTCATGCATGCAATTAATCCATCCATTGGAGAAAACACGTCCACTCTTTCGCAAAAGAACTGTCATCCCACTGGCAGCGCACGCGAATCGCCACTCCCTCCCGTCACCTGCCCGTTGACTGGCCAAGAATCCAACTCTGAAGACAGCAGTTTGAGTGACGGCGACCGTACACTTGTCGAATCGATGCACAATCGGTACGGTGGCGACAGTCAAATTTCGTCAACCAGTCACTCGCCTTATTTATCCAGCCCCGAGGATGATGCTTACAATAAAGCTAATTCGCTAAAACGCATTCACGACCTCTTTCAAATGGCACCCGATCACACAATGGACAGTAGTTCTCAATCGCGCAGCAACAGCGCGCCACAATTTTTCTATGCGGAAAAACTCAATGCAGTCGATCCCAGCACAATCTCATCAACTATCCACAGCAGTAGCACAAATGATCCCAACGAGGAGTTGGCGCGTAAACCAACACATTCGTATAAAATCATAGTGGATCCGCATATGAAAATGTCCACATTTACGCGACATGTTGAATCTCTGATCGGTGTACCATCGAACTATTTTAAGCTGCAACACAAATACGAGGTCATCGACCTGATGTCGACAGTGCTTTTCGTTAGTATGGGTGAAACGTTGAGCATTGAACTGGGGAAAGTGCTGCAACCGGACGAGCACAAGGCGAAGATCTCATTTATGCGCCTGTCTGAGTTGGATAATGATACCGGCAAATTGCCCTGCATATGTGAATGGGTGTACAAAGCTAGCATGACGGTGGGTGAGGCGAAAAAGGAACTGATAGCGAAGTTGCATCGCATTGACGCAAAATACAAATCGTTGTCATTAAGCAATTGTCGTCTATGGCTGAAAGGTGGACGCAACCCAATAAAAATTATGAGTGATGATGAAACATTGGGTACCGATCTGCGCTCATCGGTGGCAGCGGAGGTAAGTAATGTAGCCTCATATTTAATGTTTACCTTATTCCTTAATTCATTTTTTATATACAGTTCCTCGTGCAAGAGTGTGAAGATGGTGTGAATCCGCAGGTTGGTGAAGATAGTCTTACCATTTTCGTACGGCGCTGGTATGCGGATAAGCTGCAGTTGGAAAAATTCCAGGAAATCACTTTAGAAAGTAAAAATAATATAAATCATAAATAATTTGAAGGCTCAAACATTTATCTTCCTTTTTTTTTGTAGAGAATAGTGAAATAAGAGAGGAGTTGGCCAAAATTACTGACATACGACAAGAACATATAGCGTATAGTAAGGTAAGTAAAGACATTTAATATAAAAAGTGCATTTAATCTTTATCGCTCTAAAATCGTTTATATTTTTACATAGATAAATGGTTCTTTTCCGTGTACAAGCATTTCTCTGTTGAGTATCAACAGCACGCTTAGTTGGTTTTCGATACCCGCCACATTGGACAAGTATCCACTAACCACAACAGTCAATGGAAATGTTTATTTTTACAAGTAAGAATAGAAAATTCATCTTAGTTCGTTTGCCTTTTTAGCTCATTGTAAAAATTCGTATTTTCACTCGTTGCAGAGATGTTACCAAAGCACCCAAGGAGCCAACAACTGAAGAACGGCGCGAATTGAGCGCTCGCGAGAAGCTGCGTCTTGATCGCCTGGGTTGCATGTCAACGTCGCTTTACTCGCCGCGGCGTGAGCGCGCCCTCAAAATATATCTTGACTCGCCACAATCGAACAACAACAGTAGTACAACGACATCGTCTTCGTCCGGATCAGCAGTAGTAGGAGCGTCAAGATCGGCAGAGGATTAACAGATATAGGACAGAAAGTACTTATAATAATGACAACAACACATCTTCCGGGTATATTCAATTCGTGGTATATTTAGTGGCTGCATTAACAGTTCGGCTATAGTATGGGTGATGGTTTCTGACCATATTTGCGCGAGGGCCCTTCAAAGGAGTTGAAAGGCCCCGATAATGCATATTATTATTGAGTAATGTGAGGACTGATGCAAACAACTGCCGACAAGTGAATGATCAACATCACCATTGTTGGCACTTAAGAAAAAGTGATAACGCGATTTTCTTTGAATCTTTTTCTGCAGTTAAAAAATTTATTCATTTATTTTCATCAACAAATAAAATAAGATACTGAAATTATATCATAAAGAATCTTAAAAACAAGCTTCATGCATAACTAAACAAAGTTCTTTGTTTTAAATTTTTTCTGATTAACGCATGAGTCCAAAGGGGGGAATAGTCGCTTTTCTGGGTATGCATTTACAGTTGCACGGCGTTACTCAACTCCGATTTTCCTGCCCTCGTTCGCACATTCTGGGCAACGTGAGCAACGCATATGCGAGATGCGGTAACAAATTCGAATGCGGCCTTGGGTCAACGCAGAAAGGGAGGGAGTTTCGTTAAGGTCACTCCGACTTATTCGGCTAAAAAGCTCACTGAAGTCAGCAGCACCTTTTCACCAGTAGGAGCGGCGTTTGTTTGGAGAAAGTGCACCGTTATATTAACGCGTATTCGCGCAACGTAAACACCAATGAAAAGACCAGAAAAAACCTCGGATAATTACCTACCTCAACGCTGACAAAAGAAACAAGGACTATGCTTTACGGATATGCACGTTCCGATGACAATCGGGTCTACGTAACCGGAACGACCCATATTTATATCAAAAACCCTTCGGGGAATTTGTATGCTGTTATAACGACTAAGGATATGCTCCTGCAATGTAGGTCTGTCTATGGGGAAGGCGCCTCTATGAAACTGCTGGATTTTCCAGATGTCTGGAATGATGAACGTGGTCATAGACAGGTTGAGGACCTACCGCAGGACCCAAGTTTTTCAGCATCAGCATGCATATTCCGTCGGGTCCTATAGCTTTGGAGGCTTTCGATTCTTGTTTTAACTTCACCGCTTGCGAAAGCAAGAGGGGCACTTGTTATTGGCAGTTCGGGCAGCCTTCTAGTCACTCGACGTTTGGCTGGAGGATGCAACGTAAATTGGCGGCTGAAGTAGCTTGCGCATCGCTCAGGGTCCGACGAGGCGCGGTCGCCGAAAAAGATTTTGTCGTGTTGGGCAGTGACCTCACGGTTGACAAAAGCTTGCTCACACCAGGGGTTAAGTTACAAGTCTTCAGATGCTCTTTCCACTTCTTCTGCTCATGTACGTTCACAAGTTACCGAATTTCCGTGTTGAGATCTCTAACGCGAGGATTTTCGCTCACCAGCTAGGACAGCCGCTTCGGCAATGTCTGCTTCGATGAGACGATACTGCACGGTGTGATGCGTGATGAACGCTGGGACACCACCATTATTTCGCTCGTAATCTCGACGGTGCACATTGTAACCGGCGCAATTCAACAGTGTTGAATTATTGTGCATCTACGTCTCTTGGACCGCAGCTATTAATATTCAATACTGACCCATACAGACCGTAATCTCCTCGCCCAATCTCGCGTGGTGCATAGTCCCAAATATATATGCCCTAAACTGACACCAGCCAAGGCAGGTGTTGCAATTGAACGATGTCCCGTTACGGAATATTCTGGTCTGACATACCGAGCAGATTGTTGGAGGAACCAGGAGTTTTGGCGGCGGCGTGTGGTGTGGTCTATTGTGTTGTGTTGTGGTGCAGTCTGTTTGTATTGAGTTGCTCAGGCGGACTCCAGTGTACCGCTGAATTGCCGATGAGTCCTGAGGCCTGATCAAGTTCGAAGATGACTCCACCCACTATAGGAGCTACACTTGACTGATGTGGAATTAGGGTGTTGCACTCTCTGGCACACGCAGCAGGAGTAAATTTCCGGCCTGGGCTTGACTCGATGGCTAAAATCCGAGTCATTCCAGTTCGTATAACCGGCTGTCGTTTTTTTTTTTCTTTTTTAAAAGGGCACGCTGCTAATACAACTCTAATCAAAAAATAATAAATTTTTGCATATCTAAGGGCCGGTTACTCAATGTCTGGTTAACACTAATCTCCGTTTAAACATCATTATCGACGTGTTCGGCTCCATGCATATAACATGGAGTCGGTAACGTCGATAACGATGTTTTACCGGAGATTAGTGTTAACCAGACATTGAGTAACCGGCCCTAAGTCTTTTCGTTTGGCAGTGACAATGCAGAAATGATACCTTCGCTTACAATGATTGAATATAGTAATTTTCTTCACAGGTGGCAACCTTGCTCAAAAAAAAAATTTTTGCTTATCTAGGGCCAATCGCTTTCATTTAACACCTACTTTTTTTCTAATCCAACGAACGGTGCGGACCTTATAATTTCTTAGACAGGTGGCTACCCTATAGAAATTCTATATACCAAAGGCCACTCTCCTATCGATACAGAATATATCAGAGAAAATCTCGTCCAAATACGTTCAGTAGTTTTCGAGATTAGTCTCGACTTTCCTTTATACTCGGATCTATTCTGCGTTGGTTACAAAAATTTTGTTACAAGTAAATAAAATTCCTGGTAAATTTTAAACCTCTCGCATTCTGCGCACTGTTAAATTTTGTTACCTTCTCTGGTTATATATATAATATACATATAATCGGCCTGTTACAATTTTATTAAATGTATACATATATATATACATATAAATATATATATAGATATAAATGTGTTTATATGTATGTAAGTCCCTGGTTTTTAGAATCTCAAGAATTTCTAACGCCCTGTGCTGCCACATTAACATTTTTGGCGGCAAAAGTATTTACAAGGAATGTTATGTAATTACAACAACATTCTCTGGTATTTCAGTCAAGTTAAAAACCAGCTCAACATAATGCTTAGGGCGGCATCTGTACGGACGGCGATGTTTGTTTATTTATAACAGTTAATTTGTGATAAACTGTTAATGCACAGAGTGGTCCAAATGAAAATTAATTTAAAAGAGTGGATTCCATTCAACGAACAAAGTTACGAAGCTTATCTACGTACATTAGGGTGGCCCTTAAAAGTAGGAAGCAAATTTTTACATCAGATTTCCTAAGTCCTCAACTCCTACGTCAACTCCTACAGTCGGTAAAAAACATTTTAAGTCATTGGAATTTTTAGGATCTATAAGCTTACACTGAGTTAAAGTAAAAATTTAACAAGTTATAAATCTGCTTACACAAAATCTTATAGAAATCCGAATTAAAAAGCTTGAAATTTTAAAGGTTTTTTTAGTTTTTTATGTTTTGTATAACATTTATAAAAAATTAGTAGACACTAAACAAACAAAAAAATAGTCAAAACTGCTAAAAATGTTGTGTGCTATTATTTTGACCAGTACTTGATTGCTATTCAAGTGGAACCAAGTGTATGCATATAAGTATATATATTTCAGACAAATAAATTAATAAGTTTATTTTATTATTCAACAATTTTTATTGAGCTCGAGGCCGTTTTTTAATGAAAATTTATTGTGGAAAAGCAACAATAATTTGAAAAAATGGCAGAAGTGATAGCTATTTCGTGCTAAGTACGCCTTGTAAATTATCGTTTGCTTTTTTCCACTATTTTCATTTTTGTTATGCCAACACAATCAAGCGCAGCTATTCCGCTGCAATTCACTTGATCATGTGGTTGTTGATTTCCGAAATAGCTATCACTTCTACCATTTTTTCAAATTATTGTTGCTTTTCCACAATAAATTTTCATTTGGCCAAAAAGGCCAAAAAAATAACAAAAACAAATAGTTTATTTTATTATTATAAGAAGTTCTTTTTGATGCATTCAATCTCTTTAATTCACAAAGTACAAAATTTATAAATTTATTAATGATTTAATTTTCAAGCAATTGAGCGTTTCAATTCAATACCTTTCACGACGATAGTAATATCGATACTATCGATTTTTTCAACTATCGTTTCGAAAACTATCGAATGGCGGTACTATCGACAATATCCCAGCTCTAGATGCTACTATAGCCGAAGATATCACATATAAATTTTGGTCCTGATTGGAGAGGGTGTCGCACAGGGGTCAAAGTTCAGAACACCCTGTGAAGATGTCATAACCGACTCCGATCGGGACCAAAATTTATATGTGATATCCTCGACTATAGAAGTATCGATTTTGGGTATTAAATGAAAAAAAAAAATTTAATCAAGATCAAGATCAAGATCAATTTAATATTTAAAAAAAATCAGTTCAATGTAGAATAACATTATTAATAAATTTCAAAGCCTTTTAAAAAAATTCTGAAGAGGAGAAAAACTAAGTACGCAGTTTTACCATAATTTACCCATAGTTTCACGAATATATAAATTTTCTGAGTGCAAAATTTACTGTCGCTCGGTGTAAAAAAATAAAGCATTTTACAGGTACGTGCCTGTAAAAATATAGAAAATATATGACTTCAAATTTGCCCTTTTTTTGATTGCACGCTGACAGACTAAAACAAAGCAGTGTGGAATTATGCGTATTGGGTAGATAACATTCTTAATATAGCTATTTGAAAATGCCAAATACATAAAACACATAAAGTCACTTAACCAATCTCTACCAAATTTAGTACACACAATGCGGCTAACCTTCTTAAATACCGTCTTCTAAATTTTTGAAATCCGACAAAAGCCACGCCCTCTAGAAATATGGCTAAGTTTGAATTTTCGAAAATTACAGTTTTTCACTTATAACTCCTTAAGCATTTACGAAAAATGAGTCTTACAAGAATTTATTGTTTCCTCAATGGATTTCAAACCATTCGATGTATGTATGTATAATTTATGTTTGTGCGTGCAATTTAAAAATTCACATTTTTAACGTTGAATCGTAAGGTTCCGGAAATTTGCCCATATGTATGTATATAGAAAAAGGTTTTTTTCATAACAGCGGTCGTCCCTCGGCAGGCAATGGCAAACCTCTGAGTGTATTTCTACCATGAAAAATAGCTTCTCATAAAAATACAATCGCCGTTAGGAGTCGGCGTAAAGCTGTAGGTCCCTCCGCTTTGTGTGACAACATCAGTCGGAGGAGAAGCTCGGCCAAACACTAACATATGTGTAAGCGCCAATCTATTATTATTATTATTATGTATATTAGACTGCATCACTCCCCATACAAAAACAAAAAAAAAAACCGTACTGTTTTTCCACCGGAATTATAAAATCTATTATATTTTAAGACCTTCACCGAAATATTTCGGAAATATATTAAGATTTACGTGAGCTGGATCGATTTGAAAATACCTCCAAAAATTAAGTTT